GAAGGAAGGAAGGAAGGAAGGAAGGGAAAGAAAAATAAAACAATAAAGGAAATGAAACAGGATAGGAAATATGAGAGGAGCCTCAGAGGGACAGAAAACATCTACAAAGATTAGAGAATTAATTAGAGATATTTGGATATTTAATGTTTTTTTAAATTATTTCCATTTGTTTAATGAATTAATTCCGATATGAAATGAAGGGATTTCTGCTCCCTCAGGACTCTGGTACCAGGTTCTGGCTCAGCCGTCATTAAACCTTTTCCTTCAGGGTTTAGATGGAGTCGCTTTCTAACATGGCGGCAGATATAAGGAGGCCAGAGCTCCAGAGGGCAAAGGTCAGTGAGAAGACGGCGCCTAAATGAAGCCAGACCACAGACCTGAGCCTTCCTCAGCAGGTCGATGGTCAGAGCCAGCCAATCAGGACAGCAGGTCTCCAGCTCCAGGCTGATGAGGGCCAAGGCCAGCATGGATCCTCTGAGCTGATCAGAAACAGATCCAGGTCATTCAGGGTCAGGTTAAACAGAGAAACCAGGGAAGCTCTGAACCAACCTGCATGACAGAGTGATCGGCCAGGCAGGAGTAGAGCCGCTGCGTGAGGACGGCCAGGTGCTGAGAGCGGCTCACTCCCGACAGCAGCTCCAGAAGGCCGGACCGGCACGACAACACCATGGCGTGGAACTGAGGAAGAGGAGGGACGAGACTTCAGGATGGCGCTCTGATCAGACCCACTCTAACGTCCTTTCTCACTATGTGTACGTGTGCATCCTCGTGAAACATCACCGTCCTCAGCACTAGCACTGTTCCAGTTCACTAGAACAGCAGACAGAGAACGGACAGAGTCCCCCGGATGTTGTTCTGGCCCCTCCCTCTTTACCCAGCATGCATCAGAGCAGACTTGTCCGTCCTCCAGACTGACAGCTGTCCCAGCATGCACTGCGGCAGCAGCAGCTTCCAGGTTAGCGCTCACAGAGCTCAGAGTGTTAAGTTAAAACTTCTCTTTTCTGTTGCTGTTGTTCAATAAAAGTACGTTTTAAGATCATTTGAGGCGA